AAATTAAGAAATTAAGAAATTAAGAAATTAAGAAATTAAGAAATTAAGAAATTAAGAAATTAAGAAATTAAGAAATTAAGAAATTAAGAAATTAAAAGTAATTTCGAATAATCTAACTAAGTTGCCGGCCTTCGATCACGCGGCGGCCCCTTCCCCTCACGCCCCCCCGGCTCTCCAGAAGGACTTTCTCCAGCTATCGGATAGTAAGATTGAGTTTCAAACTTTTATATCATTGGTTGAACTAGCCTCGGCATTAGCAACTTTGTCTCATGTTACCGTTCGAAGTCCGTTGTTTGAACTTGTTTGCTTGTCAGGTTATCGACACATGAGCGCCCACGTGACTAGCCACTTCACATCTGACAGTCATGCATTTGCTTTCAGATCGCCCCACGAAACTACTAGGCCCGCATCTTGGTTGGCCTCCTTTCAAGTATCAATCTAGTAATAAGCATAGTAAGAAGCATAAGTTCATCAAACTTGACCAATACTCTCCCCACATTTTTCACAATTATAGGTGCATTACGAACAGGTTATATTTTGGCCATTCTATCATACTCGGTGTTTGCCATCCTGTTGCAATAGCTGAATATCTCCTTTGTCGCATCTGATATATCTCCCCACCGGATAGAGTATTTATTTCCCCCTTCTCTCTAATTCTAAACAATACAATTTTAGATCAACTATTGTCCATACCAAAAAACAAACAAACGCATCAGAATCAGTTGACTGATTCAACAGCAACATCCATGAGATACAACTACTTCATTCCTCTGATTATTCTTGCTAGGCCAGCAGTGGCTGAACCGATTCCCGCCCTCTTTCCAAGAGGAGACGGCAGCTGCAACCACAATCAAGGCACATATAACAATCCCTCCTGTCCGACACGAGCGTGTTGCTCTACCTATGACTGGTGTGGCTACGGGTCTGCATGGTGTGGGGGTAGTCCAAATCCTAATCCACCTGATGGCAGCTGTGATCCCGGCTTGGGCACATACAATAACCCTGCATGTCCATATGGAGCTTACTGTTCAACATATGGGTACGTCGAAATCTGCCCTCAGTTCAAATAAAGTTTAGGAGCCGCGAGCTATTGAGATACTTCCAGAGGGTGATCGGCTCTTACGCCATTTAACACTTTCTGTCAAAGTCCATACTGACACATCAACAGCTGGTGTGGATATGGCCAACCGTGGTGTTGAGCACGAAGTTTGACAGCGCCCGACAAACTTTGAGTAGCAGTATTTGGAGAAACTGGAAAGCAATGTCTAGCCATTTGGATTCAGCGTATCATTGATCTTTGCTTTTTGTGGTGAACGCGATTTGTGTTTCGAAGTCAGAATTACAGCGAACTTTGAGAATTTTGCGGAGTTGTTTATTTCACATGCGCTCTAACTATGATGTCTGAATGACATGAGATGAATCAATGACCACAAAAGTGACCTTACCTAAAGATGCTGGTCAAGTTTTATTCTTTTGCAGCCATGGACCTATTTCTGCAGCGATTAATTGGTTCAGTAGATAGAGTGTAATTTGAATTTCATGTAAAACCGAGCTCTTTTGATTTGAACAAGGTGCTGGTAAGTATCTAATCACGTGCTAGTAGCCCCTTTATGCTCGCTTGAGCCCCTTTTCCTTGTATGAAAGTCTAGTCCAGCTACACCTAAATGTTATAATCAATCAAGTAAACATCCAAACATCACCTTGCAGGATTCTAGTTCTCGAAGAACCACTATAGACGAAAATAGCCCCAGTCGAGCGACTGCATATTTTCATGCCAATATACAGTGGTTCGTAGATACTGCATTAACCAGGTATCACAAGCGTTGAAATTACGTATAAGTTCTCTTCAATTACTTCTATCTAGCCACAGTTGACCCTTTCCACCCCATTATAGACTAAGTGAAGAAAAATATGGCATGTAAAGTTATGCGACAAAGAGCTCTATTTTATGACATAAGATTTTTTTTCCTTTCGGAAACTTTGAGCCCAGTGGTAATAACAATATAACATAGAATCCGAATGCTAAAATTAATACAGAGCAGAAGAACGTCAAATTAGGGGCAAAGATCCGTCTGATTTTGCTCAAAACAATCCAGCCCAATAAGTAATGTTAGTACTCACTAGAGCACTGGTCCACTTTAGGCTTTATCTCAAGTATCAATTTCTACTTCTTTACATCAACATGTCTCCTCCGTACAATTCCAATTCCACGCACTTGTTTAAAATCCATGGACGCTTAGTCGAATCATAGAGAAGATTGGAATGGAATGCGTCTTTATAGCGCCAGTAGCACGAGCCAGCACAAGGAAATACAACTTGATAATAACACAAAGACTACGAGGTTTTGTCTCTTGCTTTTTCTCGGGCATGAATGTATAGCGTTCAGCAAGGAAAGACACTAACCACCAAGAACGGTCCAGAAAAGTCCTTCTACAAGTGCACTACTGAGGTCCAAAGGCTTCCTGCTGCTTGTACGTCTTTGAACTTGACCATAATGGAGTGTTGCGCGAGACTAGCGTGACTCTCTGAAGCGTATAAAAGCCTTGACTGCAATCTATTCGAAATCGTACCCACCCAACACCAAAAAAAAGCAACCGCTCTCGTACCTATCATAAGAGTCCTCCACGAATTGCTACTACCCATCCATCATGGCAAGAAAACCCTTGAAGGATGATACCCTCGCATCTATCGACAAGGTCATCTCCCGCGTCGAAGTAAAACTCGTTTCTTTGCGCACCCGCCCTTCCCCCCAACGCAATAGCGCAAAGGAATTCTTCCTCCGATTAGAGCAGATCAAGCTTTCCTTGGAGGATATCCGTGGAGTCCGGGAGTCTCGATCTGCTGAGCACAAGGTTGGTGTTCGATTGTCACAACTGGAGAAGGAGACTATGCATGAATTGTGGTTTGCTTTCTTGGGCAAATTTCGGGATTGAGACATGTCAGAATTGGGTATGTGGGTCTTTCTGCTGTATTTGGTGTGACACTGATTCCGAGGGAAGGATTCAGGGCGCAAATGGAAAGTGTATGCCGTTTCTTTAGCTTTGCGCATATAGGCAAATAGGAGTGAAGTGCTGAATTTATTTGGACATCACTGGAAGACGTCTAGGTTACGGCTGGAGTAGGACGAGAAGTCTATAATAAAGATAAACAATAGCAAAGGAATATGAATGAACAAAACAGGATGTCTTTCAAGCGCACAAGTCCTTGATCATAGAAATGTGATTTTGATCTACTATATTTTTGCACTAGTAAATGGAAAATTCTGATACAGTCACACGTGTGAATATCTGGGCACTGAATCGGAGCAACATTTTCTTTCTTCTCCACCAGTTGTTCAGAGCATATCTCATACTTCCACACATCTCAATCTTCATCTTAACGTCAGCACTCATCAATCTTTCTGCTCATTAAACAGTACTCTTCAGCAAAAGATACACTTCTGCCATCTCCATCCTCCAGGCTACACAACTTATAATCTTGCTGATCTATTTCTACCTCTACGAAGAATATCACCATCTACTTTCTGGAATGTGGGGCATTGTGAGGGGATTCCGTTAGCAGCGCCGCTTTTTGGGAGTTTGCCCGCTCTCCAGGCACAATTATGCCACTTCTGGAACAGAGACTTGAATTATGTTATAAATTGTGTGTCGGAGAGTGGGTAATTGAGATGGGTTGTATTTTGTGTTTGGTTACATTTCCAGATT